ATAAGAAAGAACACACAACAAACGTTTATTGTGATTTCATTAACATATATACCTATTTTCTAAGAAGAGCTAAAAAAATTGGTTAGCTAAATTATTGTAATACTAACATGCAAACACAACAGTAGTCTAGCTAAGGATTTTTAGAGATTTAATGTAATTCTATTAGTTGAGGGGGTTAAGGTACGATAAGGGGACCTGGGGTCTTTAAGATAAGAGGAAAAAACAAATGGCCAGAAATACGGCTGAGCTATGACTTCATTATGGCTACGATAATGCTATCTTCCCATCTACGTCAGTACTGTGACGCCGAGAGAGAACGTCATTCACTGTAGTTATGGCCTTATCTAGTTCTCCTTCCTGTGATAGGGTAACTCTCTTTACAGTAGTAGCTAGAATGCAAACGTAAAATGTCTCTGCTTAAGTAAATTCTTCTCTTGCAACATAAAATACTGTTTTCAAGTAGTCCGAGCATAAGCTTTTTTCATCTTGATTATTACTATTAAAAGATTTATAGCAATTCCATGTGTGAGTATGTGTTGTATATATATATATAATAAAATTTCAGGTTATAATTAATAAATATCATTATTAAAAAAATAACTGCTCTGTATTTATTCACATCTATTAGCATTTTCAGGGAGTATAGTAAGTCTTTTTTTTTTTGTATTTATTCATGATATTTACAACTGTATTAAAAAATTAAATACATTAAGTAAATTTGATAACAGAAAATAATAACATGAAATGACTTGTTGAGAAACTACCCACTGGTAGCACTCTAAAAACAAAATGTATTTACAATAAGAGATCTCGAGGCCATCTTCTTTCCAGACGCCTCGGAGGGTTATCAGGAATAGAAGAGGAAGCAAGGCTAGAGACGAGAGGATTCGGATGGTTCTGAAGTTTATTATGGAAGGATTGGTATCTGGATTGGGCCAAATCGGAAAGATAAGGAACATTAAGGTCATTATGGATTATTTTATTGGTGACAAAGTAAGGATCATTGAGGATTTTCCGAAGGATTTTGGATTTGGAGTGGAGCCCCAAAGCTCAACTCCGTAAGTCCAAATAGGTAGTCATGTATATAAGTCTTTTGTAATTAACTGGAAGCTTAGAGCGTTTGTCTAGTAAGTGTTGGAGTAGTCGGAAATGTCGAGCGGTTTCTTGTCGTTTCAGTCTGGTATGAGGATTCCAAGTTAGACGTTTGTCCAAGTGAAGTCCAAGGTATCGGATTTGTTCAACAGGGATAAGTGGGGTATTATTAAAGGATACTGTGGGACATGAAGTCATAGGTTTACGTCGAAGGGTAAAGGTGATTTGATGGGATTTATTAGAATTTATAGTAAGTCTAATTTTCTATTTATCGGTTTCCGTTTTGAAAGTGAGGTTAAGACTTATTGAACCTGACGTAAGTACCAGGCAACCTGTCATTTGTGTCCTGGGTAAAAAACAGTTTTCTGCTGAAGAATAAAAATACACTACCATAAAGAACTCAGAATATAGTTCGATACCAACAGGCGGTTATTCTCATATTCCTGGAGTACCCACCGAAAAATGTCCATCTTAATCTAATATTAATCTTAGCACTGTTCATTCTTACGAAATTCATTATAGTAAGCTTGAAAAGTTAGAAACAGCTATCACTGAAGAGTTTATCACTGATGTCCTTAGGAATAAAATTTAAATAAACTTTTCCGAGGCCTTAGGAAGGCGAGTCGGTGTCGTAATTCATACTAGAGGTAGCAGCATAGGGTACTAGCTTAATTTTGATAGAAATTATAGCGTTTATTAAGTTTGGGAATTTTTAATTTTCTTTTTTATCATAAAGTAAATATCAGACATTGTTTTTCCATAAATAAATGTTATATTTTTTTAATTGTCTGATTTATTTGCAAACATCATGAATTACATAGAAAAAAAGCTTCAACATGGACATTTCAATCTTCATATTAACATCAGTTTATTTTTCTAAGTATTCATATATTTAAAAAAAATACACGTTAGATATTATGTTCAGATTTGTTTTATGTTAAGTACTCCCAAGGTATTCTAAAATAAAACTGAAAAAGCTGTCTGTCTTTTTTTTTTTTTTTAAAGGCTGGAAGTTATCCAACTTTTGACACCAAGGCCTCGTACTCGAGTTATTCGTCAAAACAAATTTTTAGCTTTACACTCATAAATACGTACACAATACCTTGCTATCTAAATTCAATATTATTTTTATTTAAATTAACATTTAAACTATTATACAATTCAGAAGAATTGCAGAATATTTTCTCCAATTTCATTTTTGGTATTGCCAGAAATTATATGAATGTTTTTATCTAATGGAGTTCTATTTTATTCGTTGTTTGAACCATTTTTGGCCAAATAATGCACAAGTTAGCTGGAAAATTCTTCAGATACCTATATACATTACATAAAAAAAACTGCCTTCACAGGCCTTATTTAAGTCGCTGAGAAGATGAAGGAAGTTATGATAATTTAATATACTCTATAGTAAACAGAGTTTGTTATAATTGTTTTACTTTCATTTACCCACGTATGTAATATATAGTAAGGGAAAGTATCACGATCGTGAAAGTTTTTGAATCTGAGTTTTCAACGGAAATACACGATTTGAGGCCTCCTCAGTCTAAATAACCAAGTCCCGCAATATGGTGTGTGTGTGTAAGTCTAGCTGTTAAACGAAAAGTCATACGAAAATGATATTACGTATTTAATATTAGTGTATGCCTTGGATGTGACAGCAACTTTTTCGTTAAAATTGACTTACCGGAAGTGACACCTTATATCAAAGCTTATGCACAGATTAAACTAAGTGTATCATTGTATAATTAAGTGGTATTTAATATCATTGAGGTCTTATCCCCATTTTCGTCACTTAACAGGGCTTTAATGCTTGAATGTTCAACAAGTTTTCCTCTAAAGCAACTTTAATTTGGTTTATTTTAAATAATTAACCATCTCTCATTATTTAGAATTATGAAAAAATTCTAAATACAACTTTTGAAAGAATTTGATAATGGAAAAATGAAGAAAAAGGGAAAATGTTTATTGAGGTCGAAAATAAATAATATATGAACAAAAAAACGTATCATATATCATTGGAAAATGGAGAATTTTAGAAAGAAAAAAACAATATCTAATATAGAAAGTCGTAGAAAGTAATGTAGAGTGATGAAAAATTATATATAATAATTTGTGAAAACTAATATTATTTAACGGAAATCACATGTTTTCAAGGAAATTAAATGAAATTTACTAATTGTAAATTTTTTTAGTTTGAAAATAGTATTTAAAATCCACCTAATCAAGGCAATAGAGTCGTTTAAAAAACTATTTCATAGTACTTATGTGAAAAAAGAAGTGAAATATAAAATTATTTCATGGATATATAAAGAATATGTTTATAACATTAAATACATTTACTGTAGTTTATATAACTTTAGATTTGATATTTTATAAAGAATTAGGCATCAATGTCCGTTTATTCCGATAAATCGCCACGTAACCTTCTAAAAAATTAGTGAATAATTTGAGGAATTTTCCCTTTGTGAAATCCAAACATTATCCGCTTACAATGAGTGTAAAAACTTTTGACCTACCTATAGCAGGCCATGAAATCTCGTAATTTCATTGTAGTAAACTTTATAATGGAAAATGACAGTTTATTAACTAATAATCTGACAATCCAAAATCATTTATAGGTTAAATATTCAGATGTACTTTTAAATCTCACTAGGCATATATGAGCCTTTCGGTTGACAGAATTACTAACTCCAATTTTAATATTCTTTGTAGAGAACTAGAAAACGAGAAAACTGCTCGAAACGTCCTGAAGTATTAAATAAATTGTTAGTAAAAATAAATAGTTTGGCTTCAATCATTTTTTAAAAACCTACACTGGATTCATAATTAAACAATAATTACAAACCGTATAAAAAATAATAATAAATAAGTAAAATACAATTTTAATACAGCTCAACTGTGTTGAGTTTCTAATGAACATAACATAATCATTATTCTAAACGATAATATTTAGGAATTGGACAAGAAATGATAAAGTTTTTCGGGATTATTTTCCTTAATTTTTTTCTTCAGTTAATGCTACTTGATGTTACTCAAAATGGATTTTTTTTTTCATTAATTGAAAATTAGTCTTTTCTATATTTGCTACAATCTCGTATATTTATTGTGAAATGAACGTTTAAAACTCTATTAACACCCTTGTTAAAATCAAGGATTAATTTCTTCAACAAATTTATAGTTAATTTTTATGAGTTAATTATGATTATTTAAAAATACAAATAAGCACTTTCCCTTGAAACAACGGATGAGTAACATGTTGGAGGAAATTGTTTAATAATGAAATGTTTGGTGTAAAAAAGGATATATAAGAATTCACATATCAAGAACAAAATTAACACCATCCAATTGACAATTTTGATCATTGGTTCTTAAACTTCCATGGACCCCTTGCTTCGATTAATTAATAAATATTTAATACAATAAAATTTACCAAAATATGATTTATTTTGTTATTTGTTGTAAACTTTGCTCGCAGGTCAAGATTAAGAAAAAAAATAGTACTATCTGAACGTTTCAATTATGCTTTGTCTTCAACATATAATATGCTCTGTATAATTCGTTAAGTTTAAGAAAATCATTTTTTTTTTTAAATTTAGTGCTGTGGGTAAAGATGTTGAAGAAGTGAACTAACCTAAATAAATATCTTATAAAATACCTTGATTTTTTATAATGTTCTTCACCTAAAATCTAATAGCAGCCCTTGGAATAAGTGCAGGAATGGGGATGAAGTGATTTTCAGGGAACTGGGCCAACTCAATTCATGGTGAAAAAGTGATTCACTGTCTTGATTTATGATAAGGCGGAAAATCAATTCTGGTTTTACGGGATTTGGCCGCAAAATCCCCTCCTCAACAACTTGACACCAGTGGACGTGATCTATTTCTATACTGTTCATGATATTTTTATTATCAGCTTACCTTTTTGCACCTGAAGAGGGCTATGATGGTGATGAGGTTTCCGGGGATGCCTACCATCATGAAGAGGAGGCAGAAGAGAGTGGCTAGGTTGAGAAGGCTGGGTGGGTAGCCTTGGAAGAGCTCCGCCTCGAGCTCGGTGTCGGCAGGCTGGCCGGGGTCGGTCCTGTTGGTGGCGTTGAGCAGGGTAGGCAGTGTCTTGGGGCTCTCCTCGCTCTGGCCCCCCAGCATGGAGGCCTGGAGGATGAGGTCGCTGTAGTCCATGTAGTCACCTGCTAGCCCCATCCCTCTTCCCCGCTAGGATCCACCATCCGAGGGGTTCTGCCAACAGAATGTTTACATATTACAAAGTGTAGTAATATACTAAAATAATAATTCCTTATCTTCTGGTCTACAGATCCTTTCAAATCCTACGAAAAAAACGACTAATCCACAACACTGTAGAATAGAATAGAATAGAAAACAACATTATTCTGCGACAAAGTCCCTTTAGAATAACAAAATAGAACATAATTAAAAGACTACATCTGACCAAAATAAAACAATAATAAAAAAAGAGAAAGTAAAGAAAATATAAGTTAAACAAGCTGTATGCAAAAAAAAAAAAAAGAAAAAGATCTATACTCAAAACACTTAAAAGTATGATAAAACACTTAAAACTATGTACAGTAGGAAAAATTATAATTATACACTTTAGAAAAATAAAATAATAAAAACACATTGAGTCTTCTTTATAATGAGGTGTGTTTCTGCTAACAAAGGAAAGACAAAGCTGACAATATAAAATGTCAGAGTATTTAAATAATGAATAATATGTAGACTCATCATTGTCTAATTCTAGCTATAGGCACAAATTTAATTATATAAGAGTAAAAAATAATAAAAAAGCAAATGATAGACGCATTCAGTGGCATTAAGAGCAGGAAGATATTGTAATATCCCCAGTGAAGTTTAAAGCATAGAATAGTACTATCGTTTGATGATGAATGATATAATAGAGATGTATAATATCAAAAGTTTAGCAAGCATCTGACTGTTTTTGGGATAGGAATTGGAATAGAAGGGTTTAGAATGTGGATATGGAGGGGTAATGCCGAAAATCGATAGGTAGAGAATTCCAGAAATAGACAGCGCGAGCTATAAAGGAGTTTTGTAATGAGGCAGATCTGTGAGAAGGGATGTAGACGTCAGAAGATCGAGATCTTGTAGAAAGACTGAGGACTTGAATTGGAGAAGATTGTAGATGCTTGGTTGTTGATGATTTGATAAAGGAACGTACCTAGGAAATATTGTCTTCGAAAGGAGGGGAAGAGTCACCTTAACTCAGTGGAATGGTGAGAGAAATGGGAGTACCTAAGGGGACCAATAACAAATCTAACGCAGCTATTCATTAATCTATTCAGTCTATTACGGAGATCCACCGAGAGCTCATCATACACCACACAGCTATAGTCAAAGTGGGGGAGGATGAGAGAGGAAATTAGGAGTCTACGGGTATGTTGACGTAGGAGATGATGGAAGCGATGAAATAGTTTAAGGGTAGAAATTGTCCGACGGGAAATGTGAGAAATATGGTAGTTCCAGGAGAGGGTTTGGTCTATGAAAAATCCTAAATTTTTAACAGAGGAATAGAAGGAAATTAGCTGGTCATTAAGGTGTAATATGTTAAAGTCGGTATTGGATCTAATAAGGGGCTTGAAACCAGTGATAATGGCCTGGGTTTTGGCAGCATTTAACTTTTATTCAATACTATACTGAGACCAATTCGGAGATAAGGTGGGGAACTTTATGGTTAATTAAAACAAACATACATCAACAAAATACAAACAAGATAGTCCAAAATTCTTTTTAAAAAATTGTTAAAGCGCCATAGTATTTTTCAAATCACATTATATACACAGTACATGAGTTTACACAGTAAATCTTACATCTTACATCTACGAAAAATAAAAATTTCTTTTTTCAACCCTAAATAACCTCGATCCACTCGTTTTTTTTATTTTCCTGCTCCCTGTAACCTTATCGACGCATACAAAAATAAAGTGGACCAGCAATCTGCTGCTTCACAAATAACTTAATCACGGCGTGTTATAACTCTAATTCATTATCAACAATAAATAAAGAAACTAATCTATAATTATTCAATTGACTAGATGCGCTATAGAACCCTTGCAAATTTCGTATAAGATTAAAATAACATAAAAATATACGTATAGCCAATAATTACAATTTTTAAGGTGTCTTTCTGTTTCGGATTTCTCTTACATTTACTGTAAAGCATCAATATAAAAAGTAGAATTATCAATTCCTCCCCAGCCCATAGTCATACAAATATACGGAAATTATTATATTATAAGAATTATTATATTATATAATATAATATAAATTATTATATTATAAGAAATTATTATATTATCAATTGGAAATTATTATATTATAAAGGAATGATCTTTTAACTAGAAAATGTAAACAAGCAGACCTTAAAATTTCGAACTAAATAATTGTTATGATCAGTAAAACTGAAAGTCAACTCTGCATGAATCCATATGTCTATATAAAATTTTATTTATATAGAGATTTTATATAAAGATTTTATATATATAATTTTTATATAAAGATTTTACTGTTGGGGTGTTTAAGTCGTTATGTATAGTAGTATTTGATATATTGTATAGTAGTATGTACCAAGGTGCGTTAAAAATTTTTCGTAAAATTTTTGATTGTGCTGTTTGTATTTTGTTTATGTGTGTTTGTTTTGCAGAACTCCCATATGTCCATATTGGTCTTAGTAAGGTGTTGTAGATCAGTCGCTTGTTTCGTAAGTTAAGTGAAGATCTGTAGTCCAGAAGATGTGAAAGTTGGCTATATCGTCTAGTAAGTTTATGTCTTTTTAATTTCGTATGTATGTTCCAAGTAAGTCTTTTGTCTAAGTAGACCGTGCATAGTTCTTTGAAGGCACTGGATTATTGGCAATCGTTATGTGTGGACATGAGGCTTTTCTAAGAGAGAAACTAATTTATTACTATTTATTACTATTGGGTGGATTTATTACTATTTATTTTTATTTTCCAGTTCTCAAACCACTTTTCAAGATCATGAAGATGGTTTTGTAGGCAATTGATGCGATAGTAGGATTTTTGTGTGAAGTTAGAATAGCAGTGTCGTCAGCGAAGCAATAAATGGTGGTATTAGGGTGCTCAGGGATATCAGAAGTGTATACAGAATAGAGGATTGGGGTTAAGACGCTACCTTTTGGTACGCCTTTGTGTTGAGGAAAGAAGGAAGAAACAGAAGAATCTACGGAAGTACCGAAAAATCTATTGAGAAAGTAGGATTGAAGAATTAAAAAATAAGTGGAAGGTAAGTGCGGTTTTAGTTTCTATAATAGGCCCTTGTGCCAGACTCTATCAAATGCTTTCTCTACGTCGAGAAAGACGACAGAGAAATATTCCTTTTTCTCGAAAGTCACAGAGATAGCATCTACTATCCGATGGCACTGCTGCACAGTAGAGTGATAACAGCGTAAGCCAAACTGGTGATTCGGTATCACTTCACTATTTTCTAGAATAGGCTTTAGGCGGTTTTTCAAACATTTTCCCCATTATTGGAAGAATTGCTATAGGAAGATAGGATGGAGGAGAAGTGGTAGGTATGAATCATTTTGATTGTGGAGAGTTTACAAAGGAGAGGAAAATAGGTAGTGCGTAAAATGGAGTTATAGATGTATGTAAGAAAGAAAACAGCTTTTCGAGGTAGGTGTCGAAGAATAAAGGTAGTGATTAGATCATAGCCAGGAGCTTTTTTGTTTGGTAGTCTGTTGATTTCTTTGTAAATTTCTTTTGGATGAAATACCTATGAGATGTTTATTATTCTCACTTTTGTGGATTCAAAGCTGAATGTGGGGGACAATTGGACAACCATCTCTAGATATACATTTTTTTAGATATTTTAGAATTTTCTATTGATTCTGGCTGTATCCTTGGGAACTGCTTACTGAGCCTCTCTTAACACTCCAATGGGTAATTCCAAGTCCTCTTTACCTGTCATCATTGACTTTGGGATCAGACCATTTGTTGATATTATTATTAATGTAACCAATACGTTTTCCGAATGGTACAATTCATATATTTCAATCACCGATTCTTTGTATTTATGGAGCTTCTCTTCCACGGAGGTGCTTATATTGTTATCATTCGGAATCCCGACACCTATTAGCTTTGCCTTCTTTGTTCCTAAATCTATAATAAGGATATCGGTTCTGATGTGGCGCACTGTATGATCCGTTATAGTAGATTTGTCCCAATATATCTTAAGGGAGCCTTTCTGAAGTAGGCTTATCGGATTGCAATCATAATATGACACATTTTCACCTATCAGGTTAAGTTTCATCGCCAGAGCATAGTGGAATATCCTCGCCAATTTATTGTGCCTCTGCAGATACTCCGTACCAGCTAGCACTCCATATCTAGCTGTAATATGCTGAATTAATTCGAGCGTCATTGGACAAAGTCGGCATTTACCAAATGTTGTAGTATCCTTTACAACGTGCCTTAGGAGGCACTAGATCTTATAGGCAATGACCTGGTCTTGAATGGTGACTTCTAATTATTATTATTGTTTATTTGTTAACACTTTTACAAAAGGTTTTTTGTTTACCTAGTAGGAGAAGAATCAACCCCAACCACCTCAGGTATGTTCTATCTTAATTTCTATTGAATGTTGAGAAAGCTTCTCGCAATTCTTATGAGGCAATATTCAACAGCACAGCTTTCTAAGCTTCATTTATTACATGATTTGGGGAAGTCCAGCCTGTTATTATATTATTATTACTAATATATTTTTATTATTATTGTAATTGTATAATTATAATATAATATTTCTAACGATTAGGTATACTATTTTTAATATTAAGTTGAAATTGATATTAGACTATATTCACAAGATTATCTCCACTTTAGTGCCAAATCATATTAACATACTAAAGAAAGTAATTTGCGCATCTGTTAGTGAAAGTATTTTTTCATGATATAATATGAAATTCGATAAAATTTAAATCTACTTGACCATTCTCTAACTTTCCACAATCATTGGTTTTGAGATAGATCGAGTGTCTAGGAAAAAACTTTTGCGCACTCGTAAGAGGAAGTAGAAGACACAATTCGGTAAAATTAATGCATCATCAAATTTCCTGATTTTATCCCAGTTTTTCTCTAAATTTAGGCCAATCAAACGAGACATTTTTGAAATATATCAATATTTAAGAAAACATATAATGCAAAAATATA